ACACTGCAGTTCATTGTAGCTGACTGTGTCTGCTTCTCGAGGTGATGAGCATGAATCAGTCTAAAAGAGAACAAGGACTTCCTTTGCGTATATGTGGGTGTGTGCATGTGTGTGGGGGTGTGCTTGCCTGCATCGTGCTTGTGGAGGCCAGAGGTTGATTTTAGGGTATCTTCCTCAGTCACTTCGCCACCTCATTTTTGGACCAGGGTGCCTCCCTGAACCTGGGACTCGCTGTTTCAGCTGTCTAGTGAGCCCCTGGGGTCTGCTGTCTCTGCCTTCTCAGTACTGGGGTTATAGGCATGTGATGCCGTGTTCAGCTTTTTACATGAGTGCTGGGGTTCTGAACTCAGGTCCTTATACATATACAAGTGCTTTACCTACCGGGCTGTCTCTTCACCCTCAGGACTTTCCCTTTTAAAGTGATCTATTTTTGAATATTTTATGTGTATGAGTGTATTGCCTGCATGTATGTAAGTGTACTCCTGCCATGCAGTGCCTGTGGAGTCATAAGAGGGTGTTGGATTCCCCTGGAAATGGAGTTACAGCACTCCATGTGGGTGTTGGGATTCGAACCCAGATCCTCTGCAAGAACAGATGATGCTCTTAACTACTGAGCCATCTCTCTGGCTCCAGGACTTTCTTTTTTAACTATACATTTTGAGATGAAATTAGGAAGCTTTAATAAATAACAAGATGTGGAGAATTAACATTAGGTGTTTATATATAACCTTCATGTTTGTGGAAATGTAACAATCACTTCTTCAGGTTGGATATTATGTATAAAGAGAAATGATTGGGGGTTGGAAATATAGTTCAGTGGTCGAGTGATTTGCTACCCTACTCAAGGCCCTGGGATGGAGGCCCTGTACCAAAAAGAATTAGCTCAACAGGTTGACACATGCCTGTTATCCCAGCACCCAAGAGACTGTAGAAGGAAGATTTCTGAGTGGCTTAGGGCTGGTTTTCAGTGTGAGACCCTGTCTCAAAATGCCATACTATGATTTCCTTCTTGTGTTTGAAGAAGAAACATGCCAAAGGGTAACAGAAATTTCTTATAATTTAAGACTTAATAACTTCCAGGTTTTACAGTGAAATCTGAGCTTATTTGGCTATATGCTCTTTTCAAATCTCTCAAGAGGCTCCATGCTATATCCAAATGGCAAATTTGAGGAAATGCCTCTGATGGGCATGGTTTTGATGTTCCATTGGTTTTGCTTTGTAGGTATCCCTAATTGTGTTTTTTGACTTGTTTTCTAATACAGTTGTAGTCAATCTTCTAGATGCTCAGAGTTCACACAAACTCTATTAATATCTGAAGCACAGGATGGATATAGCAAGTGATGTAACCTCTGTTTTATTTTGTTTGATTACTGAGCAAACTATTAAGAATCAGGCGAGCTCTTTGTCCCGAGTACTAGTCACACATGTCCATTTCCTTAGTATTGAATAAACAAGGGACATGTTGAAAGGAAATTTTCTGTCTACCGATCCTATCAGAAAAAGACATTTCGTCTGAGTGTACCCAGTCCTTAGTAAAGAATCATTACAACTGATTTGCTTTTTGAGATTATATCTACAGTTTCAAACATACCATGGTCAGTTTTCAAACAGCCTGAGGAACAGTGTCCTGTACTGAGTTCAGGACAGCAGACCCAGCCATGTGCTTTGTCTGAGGAAGTTCACATGTGAAGTTCTGAAACCTTCCAAAGCAAGGCACCACAGGAGAGCCTTCAGTACCACCTGGCCTCCACCCCCAACTTCCTGCTTCACACAGGACTTAGGTCAGAAGTGCACCTGTAGGAAATTTAGAAAAAGCATGAAAGTACAGAGAAAAATTAAAATTCACACATAATCCCACATCAATATCAGCATAGAAAAACAATGGAACTCAATTCTATGTAATTTTATGTTTCCCACTGAAGTTCGTGTCTTGAGCGTTCATCTTGCTCCTGAATCCTTCTCTGAAACACGCCTTTTCATGGCTGTAATACTTCCACATATGAACATGCCATAATTTTCAACCAGGATGCTGTTAGATTGCTTCTACATTTTCACTATGAAAAAATAACACAGCGGCAAACTTTCATATGCATAATTTTTGATATGAATCTTAATTGCCTTTGGGTTTATTCTTGAAAGGGAAATTCTGGGTTCAAGGATATAGGGAAGCTTAAAGTTCTTTTTATCCTGTTGCAAAATGCCTTTCCAGGCATATTGTTTTCAGCCTGCTGCTCTTAGCTAGACCTTCACCAAAACAGAGCATTACTCAATTTACAATGTTAAGTTCACAGACTTTTGCTGACTGGGAAATAATTAATATATGCTGAAATTTTTTTTAATTTCCTTTGATTTATTTTATTTTATGTATATGAGTGTTATGCCTGCATGTGTGTAAGTGCATCCATGTTATGCATTGCCCGTGGAGGACAGAAGAGGGCGTCAGATCCCCTGGAACTAGAGTTATGGACAATTGTTAGCTGCCATGAGGGTGCTGGGTTTTGAACCTGGGTCGTCTTCAAGAACGGCCAGTGCTCTTAACCACTGAGCTATCTCTCCAATCCCCTGAAAATGTTGTTTAAATTCACTATTCAAGTAGGAATAATTTTTCAAAATCATTTTTTATATTTTATTTTTATTTATTATTTTTATTTTATGTGTATGAATGTATTGCCTGCATGTAGGTAAGTGCATCCGTGTTGTGCAATGCCCGCAGAGGACAGAAGAAGCTGTCGGATCCCCTGGAGCTGGAGTTTCGGACAGTTGTTAGCTGCTATGTGGGTGCTGGTATTCAAACCCGGGTCCTCTGCAAGAACAGCCAGTGTTCTTAACTGCTGAGCCATCTCTCCAGCCCCTCAAAATCATTTTTTAAAAGATAATTGTGGGTTTGCAGAAGAGTTATAGATACAGAAAACACTGTTTCTGAATTTGATCACCTAGCTGCTATGATCACCTGGCTATGATGCATCTATAAAAACCAGCATCAATACTAAACTGTTACCTGAACTATGGGCTTGGTTTAGGGTTCCCTAGTTTATCTATTAATAGCATTTTTGTGTATCCCATACAGGATCCCACATTGTGCTTAATATGACAATTAGTCTATTAAGAACCTGGGTCCTCTGCAAGAGCAGCTAGTGCTCTTAACTGCTGAGTCACCTCTCCAGCCCCAAATAAACTCATTTTTGCAGTTGTGTTAATATCCTCTCCTTGCTGTCCAAGCTTTGAATTGTTATTGTGTTAGCAATATCCGTGATCTGTAATTATCCAGTTGTTATTTAAGTACTGCTGATACTGTAGACCAAGATTTAGTGAATCTCTCTCTCTCTCTCTCTCTCTCTCTCTCTCTCTCTCTCTCTCTTTCACTATGTAGCCCTGGCTGGCCTGGAACTCACAGAGATCTGTCTGCTTCTGCCTCCTGAATGCTGGGATTAAAGATATGCACCACAGCCAGCTCTATTTCTTTCTTTCTTTCTTCCTTTCTTCTCTTTTATTCTTTCTTCCTTTCTCTCTCTTTTTCTTTCTTCTTCTTCCTCCTCCTCCTCTTCCTTCTTTTTCTTCTTCCTCCTCCTCCTCTTCTTTTTTGGTGTTTTCAGAAAGGGTCTCACTATGAAGCCCTGGCTGGTTTAGAACTCACTGTATAGACCAGGTTAGCCTTGAACTCACAGAGATTCTCCTGCTTCTGCATCCTGAGTTCTGGGATTAAAACTGTGCCCTACACAGTCCTCTAATTCTCTTATAATATCAAGTTTCCCAGACATTTGAATTATAAAATGCTCCTTTAACATAAAAAAAGAATATAAAATTGTTTAACTACTGTTAAGATTAGTTTAACTCTTTCCATGCCTTTGCTTCAAAGGGCAAACAAACATACACATTCAACAGAAGGAGATCATGGTTCCTCATATTGTTATGTAATGTGCTTTTCTTACTTAATGGGATATTCAGGACAGCTGCACAAATCAACACATAAAGGCCTTTTTTCCCATTTTATGTTTAATTAAGTATACTTTTGATTTAATTACAACATTAATGATATCATTACTGAATATTTTCTCATTATTTTTATTAAATATTAATTTTGCTCTTTGCTAATTTTGTGTGTATATGATATATTCTGATTACTCTCTGCCCCATCCCCACTTAAGCTTTAAACCCCTAGTCTTCTCCCTCTGTTCTTTCATACCATGTGTTTGACTGTTATCCCCCCAGTTAAGACTTCCTCCTCTCCTTCTCATGGACATTTTCTGACTTTTTGATCTCTACAGACATTCTAAGTTAATCATACAAATCTATGAATGCAAAGCTAGAATCTACATATGAGAGAGAATATGCAATATTTGTCTTTCTGGGCCTGGGTTCTCACTTAGTGCAGTATTTTCCATTTCCATCCATTTTCCTCCAATTTTCTTAATTTTATTTTCTTTACAACTGAATAAAATTGAGTTTTGTATATGTACCACATTTATATGCATATGAATGTTTTGCTCACATGTAAATGCACCAGTGTCATGCAATGCCGGTGGAGGCCAGAAGAGGGCATTGGATGCCCTGGAACTGGACTGATGGATGGTTATTAGCCATCATGTGGGTGCTGGGAACTGAACCCAAGTCCTCTGTAAGAGCAGCCAGTGCTCTTAACCACTTAGCCATTTCTCCAGCCCTTCCAGTAGAAATGTTTTGATAGCAATTTAGAAATTGACTTTAAATTTATAAAATAATTCTCTTTCCTTATTTCTTATTTTAAACACACACACACACACACACACACACACACACACACACACCATTTTATCTCCTGATATGGTTTCGGCCTTGGCAGATATAATAGCCTATGTATCTCAGCTCTAATCAGTTATTTACCATGTGTCATTCTCTGTGTATGTGCAGAAAGTGGGGACTCCTGTGGTTGGCCCAGCAGTTCCGGAGGAAGTATCATGGGGTTCAGTGACACTCTTTCATGTCTCAAAGAGCCTTCCTTTTGTGTTTGACTTTATTTACAGATAGCCTTGGACACCAGTTACTGGACTGTCATTAATCATGTCTTTATCTGGGGCAGTGTTGCTACTTATTTCTTCATTTTACTTACAATGCATAGTAATGGTGTCTTTGGAATCTTCCCAAATCAGTTTCCATTTGTTGGTAAGTGAATCCTGCATTTTTTGAGGCCTCATGTCATGCTGCTATTTCTTTCTTTCTTTCTTTCTTTCTTTCTTTCTTTCTTTCTTTCTTTCTTTCTTTCTTTCTTTTTTTTTCTCTTTTTGTAACTTATTTTTTACGTTGTGTGGGACTCCAAAAGACAATCTCTTCCCCTGGGAATTGACTTAGGTCTGAAGCCTTCCAGACTTGAAAGGGGTTCCGAGAGATCCTTAGTCTCCCTGCCAGATGCAGAATAATCATTACAATAGGAGCTTGTAGGTTTTCGACAACCCAGATGTAGTAGGCTGTCCCCTTGAAAGAAAAGCATAACATATACCTTGGGACTGTCATACTACCTGTGACAAGTGTGCATTATACAGAGAAAAGAGGAAGAAATGTCTAACTCTCCTTGTACCGTATCACACCAGCTTATCTGTCAATGTTTCGTACATAGAAATTATTTAACTGAGATAAGAAAGAAATGATTCCTGGCAAGACCATGGACCTTTACACAAGAAGAGCTATTAATATACTTTCTCAAAAGACTGGGATTCTGTAGTATATGTGGATAAGCAAAAGATTTTTCTGAGTTTATCTCAACAAACTAGAAAGGAGCGATGTACAACCTCTGTGAGTTCAAGCAGGCTGTGCTGCATAACTGTAGAAAACAATTCTCATAAGCCTGACCTGTATAGGAAGTGTCACAGAATCAGCTATAAAGTGGACGTTTCCACTGAAGCAAAGGAGCCTGAAATTCTGTTTCCATTCAGATGTGCATGCACACTCGAACATTGCTCTTCAGCTCTGTCTCTCCCTGCATGTACAGGAAAAGCTTCAAATCATACCAGTCTTACTCAGCATACCGTGTTAATACTTTGTTGACCAAAAGATTCCAACCATGTAGAGACATGTTGGTCAGGAATAAGAATGAGCCTGTTAGGAAAGGAAGACTCCAGAGTTATTTTTAAGTTTTGTTTTATTTATTTACTTTTGTATCACCAGATCTGAAAGTTTCGTCCGTTTCCAGCCATGAGAGCATTCTAACATGCATAATGGGGCTGTTACAACTGGAGAAAGTGGTCTGTGGGGGACCAGCCTTTTCATTTAAGCACATATCATTCCATAAATTAATTCCTGAGCTCCAACAAGACTTTACAAAAGTTAGATCAACAGTGGGGTTTAGGAAAAAAAAAAAAAGTTTTTTCCCCTTCATCCCAAGTGTGGTTTTAAAGCGAAGCTTGTTTTTCCCAGCCTTGCCTGAGGGTTACTGAGCTTCAAGGAGCTCCAAAAGACATTTAATTGATTGAATCAAGTTTGGTTCTGTCCATGGCTTACGGCAACTGGAGTCAGCTGCCCTTTGGTAGGCAGATTCTACCCTCCAACCCAGAAAAAGCAGACATACCAATCAGTAACCAAGTTTTCATACCCAAAGCCCATTCAAATGGGGTTAAATGTGAGCTCTGGAATGGATCTGGCTGATTGGAGGTATCAAGATAAATCCTAAGAAATGAACAGGGACAGAAATTTACTTTAGAGGGATGAGCAGGGATGGTATCTTCCCATGGAATTTGCCTGTCCACATTTACTTCCCTGCCTTTAGACAGACGTTAACACATGTGAGGTGTGAGTATAAAGTCAGGAATCTGGCTTCAGGGTTAGCAATGAGTTTCACAGCCCTGAGGGCTCTCAGGGAAGGGGCACCCTTTTCACCAACCCAGTAATCTCCTTTGTCTCCTTATAACTTTAAGTATCTTATAACCAAGAGAACTTCAAAGAGATAGCAAGATCCTTTGAGGCAGGTTTTTTGGGCCATTGCCTAGAATTTCAGTTTGGCTTTGTAATAGATACAGCTTACCCCTAAGACATAGTTGGTTAGTAAGATCATTATTTGCGGATGATCAGAAATTTTTTATCTACTCATTTATTCAGGGATTCATAAAGGCAAGTGTATCTTTTAAGAATAATGTCTGAGAGCCCGAGAAATGGCTCAGTGTTTGAGCACTGGCTGCTCTTGCAGAAGACCTGGGTTCAGTTCCCAGCATCCACATGGCAACTAACAATCAGCCTTAACTCCAGTTCCAGGGGATCTGATGCCCTCTTCTGGCTTCTATGGTCATTACACACATGGATGCACTGCTTACATGCAGGCAAAACACTCATACACATAAATAATAAATAAATAAACAAATAAATGGCTGCTTTATAGCTAAGGACTCATGAGACTGAAAGAAGAAACTGGGCCTCAGGGGCAGAGCTGGTGGAGCCTGATCAGAGAAAGCTTGACTCAGGCTTGGCAGTTCCCCAGGATGTTTATTATCATTTTAAAGATTTTATGGCTTTACACTTATGTAGTTATAAGTTTAATATATTAATTATAAATTAAATTTAATGTAACAATTATAAATTAAATTTATAATTTAGTTATAATTATAAATGAATTTATATAATTATAAAGATTTTGTAATAATTCGGTCCTTTTTGTAACCAAAGTGTCTACATTTCTTTAATGGTAGGAAATGCATGGCATTCCCTGAGCCAGAAATGCATCTGGCTTGTTATTCTCTTGACAACAGTGGCATCAGTTATGCCAGTGGTGGCATTCAGATTTCTGAAGATGGAGCTATACCCAAGTCTCAGTGACAAGGTATGTTGAATCACTGTTGAGCACTTGAAAGCTGGTTTGTGCTTCTTTGATTGATGTCTTTCTCTGAGTGGAAACACAGGGTATGGCTGGAGAAATTGCCATAGACCAAGACTCAGGTACAGGGCATCTTGTCAGAGTGAATGGTGTGGTATTTATTATTACACCAACATCATAATCACCTGAACAGATAAACTGACTCTTAAGTTTTTAAGGGTGAACCCAAACTCAGAGGACACTAGTTCCTGTAGTTATCTATTGGAACATTCTGTCTCCCAGAACTGTGCTGGGATGGATCTCTCTTGTCCCTTCAACCTGTGCAGATAGAGCTTTCTAAAGTTCCTCACCTTTTGCTGATGGAACTGTCCCTGGGACACTTTTTCTCCCACTGTGTCCACGGGTCAGGCCATACCCATAATTTATTCAGAATGGTCTTTCCAGCTTCTTTGGGGAAGTACAAGTTCAAATTCAGCTGCATCCTTAATCTCCAAAGACCACCAGGTCTTTTCATCCCTAGGTCGCATTCATTCAAGGTCATGTGTTTCTCCCAGCCTCCATTGTCCAATGGGTGGGTGCCCTGCATGCAGAGCTTTGATATGTTAATCTCTAGTATGACCACATTCATTCACTATCTTTTTGGGTAGAGTAGCAAATTGAGGTTGCCAAGGAGATGCCCAGGTCATCAGACCCAAGAGCATGATTTTGCTGGGTTAATTGGAAAACATTAGTCCAGATTATGCCCCTTAATAAAAGTCATTCCTACAGGATGACACCCCACATCTTGAATGCACTAGTCCTGAGTCTCTCCAGAGAGGGGTGATAGGCTCAGTGTGGGCAGGGAGTCATATTATAAGTATTTCCTCCATGACTCTGGAAAAAAGAATTACTGGAATCTTTTTGGAGAATTGCCATAAGAGAACAAGCTACAGGGTATGTTAGGGGCCAAGTGAAAACAAGACAAGCAAGTTCTGTCTCCGGCTCATCACTTTGGTGGAAATACAGTAACAGATGCTACCTTTTGAATAACTGTAACAGAGAACAGCAGTGTAAGGGGTGGGGTAGGGAATGGGAAACTAGAAGTTAAACAGGAAGACCACATAAAAATAGTCTAGACCAGAGAATTAGATCTATCTCAATGGTCCATGAGAAGAGTACAGATACAAAAGTAGCTTAGGCTGAGACCCAGAAACAGAGAAAAGGGCCAAGGTGAGACACATTTGTAGCCAGGCCACAAGAGAAAACGTTGCTGAAGGAATGGGACCAGGGCAGTGGTGCCGAGGGACCTGAGGTGGAACGGTTCCTACCACAATGTCCTTTACATTTTGGGGCCAAATTATGAAAAGATCCACAGAGTCGCTTGTCATTTCCATCCTTTCTCATTAGTTCTGAGCTGATCCAAATCCAGAAAGTGATGGACCAGCGAAGGCAGTAAGATGGTGCTCATTTTTCCTGTGTTAAGTAGAGTTATGATTTTCTGCTTAGGGACTTTCTTCTGAGCCAAATGTCAGAATCAAACGATTTGCCAAAGCAGGGAACAAGGCCGCTTACACTAAACCTCTGGTCTTTTCACCTTTACAGGGAAGTGAAAAAATGTTGGAAATCCACCCAAACGATGTTTATTTGGTTAAAAAGGGCACACACCCATATTTGTGTATGACACACGTGCACATACACACTAAGCCAGAATAAATCACAGCCTTGAAAGTCTCATGATACTGAGCTTCTATAAAAGTGAAAAAAAATTCTGACTCTCATTTCCTTAGTTTTCTCCTAGCTTTAGTTACTAGTGACTGTGGGATCTAGAGAGCCTCTAAAACCGAGGGGAAAGATTGTTAGAGAATGGGACTGTAAATAAAATATTTCTGTACAAAACCTTGCTCCTGGTATGTTCAAGGCTCTGTGTTGTATTTCTGACACTGTTACAAAATAAAAAAATGCATACATAAATAAATAATAAAACACAAATACAAACAAAAAAGCTATCACACGACCAAGAGGTATGATATGGAGACAGTAATGAAATTTATTTGAATATTTGTTGTTTATATGAGAGTTTCTTGACAGGAATCACATCAGGTTAGTGCCTAGTGTGATCTTTTGGAAGTTCTCTGGGCTTTGAGGCTGGAACTTCCTTATACAGGGAAGGGAAATATTTTCTTACTGCAGGTGTTGTGCTTACTGGAATGACTTTCATTTTGCAGAGTGGCCAGCTGCTGGGAACACTTGGGCTCCTCATCTCACTCTGGGTCTCTTCCTTTTCAGATCCGCCGGTGGCAGAAGGCTCAGAAAAAGGCCAAGCCCACACATAGCCGAAGGCCTCAGACCCGCAGGTCAAGCTCCAGAAGGTCTGGATATGCCTTCGCTCACCAGGAGGGCTATGGAGAGCTTATCACATCTGGAAAAAATATGCGCACTCAAAATCTACCCCCAACATCAGGGGTGGAAAAGATGCTTTATAATAACGCTTAGCTGGGTTGAAAATTTATGTGAGAAAACCGCAGACACAGTGAACAGTTTTAGTCAGGAGAAAACAGTGAGACTGTGAGTGGAGGTAAATTTGAACCACTTTATCTAGGGCTGCGATTCAGCTGCTCAGGGGCCAGGAGCAGGGCACATTGCCTCCTTTAACTTAAATCTGTGGTAAACAACTGCCAGTGCCTGTTAAATACAGGGTGCTGTCCAGGAAACCAGGCCAGAGGGGGCACTGCCCAATTTGTGATTTGGTGGATCAAGGCCTCCTGGGATGAACACAGATTTTTATTAACCGAGACACCAATGGAACTGAACTTTTAATATTGTTTATGGAGCAAAGCTTGTACATCAGCTAATATACTGAACGGATCCTGGGTATATGAATGGGTACATTCAAACAGTGTATATCTGAGTTGGAAAACACTTGCTGACAGGTAAACAGTACTCAAAGAGCAGCCTTTCCCAGATGCAATTTCAGAAGTGTGCTTTGGTGCCGTCAGACCCTCGGTTACTCTCTAGTCTTGATATCTGGCTGTCTGTTCATCCAGGACAACAAACTTTGCATGCCTGAAGAGGACAAAGACCTTTGGTATTCTCTGTTTTCCTATCAGTCTTGGAAAAAAGGAGACTGAATGTCTTCAGAGAGATAGGCTGCCAGTTTGGACAAATTATACAGGAAGCTTTCAGACTGTGTCACAAAAGGATGAAAAGTCGGAATGGCTCTCTAGAAAGTATTTTGGTGTTTCAGTGACCTTTATCACAGTCTCAGAAGTAACAGTAACGTGCTGAGCATCAGCCACAGCAGTAATGGAGCCAGCACCACAGAGGAATGCTACACATGATGTTAGTATTCCATAGAGCCTGTGGGCAAATGGCTTCCCAGTTTTAAAAACTTGAGAATTGCAAAGAATGAGTCAACAGGCAGTCTCTTCCATTATCATTTGTTCAGGTTTAGGCCATTTAGACTTAATTCCTTTTAATATCCAGCTGTTATGTTTACAAATCAAATGTATAAGTGTATATATGAAGCTGATTTCTTATGTAGACCTAGCAGCCAAAATTTGGGATCTGCATATGTATGTATACGTGAGTCACTAGTCTATTTCCTGCATAAGGCTTGTGTTCAACCTGCCATCCTGCCACTTCCTCTGTAACCTGGGTAGGTTGTGCCTTTTCTGAGATTGTGTCTTCCTCTACAGAAAGAAAGGACACCACCTACCTCATGAGGCTGATGACTGTCAAAGCACAGGTTATCAAATCATTAGAAACCTAATCCTCATATGAACGTGTGAGTCAGGCTCCAGCTGGCTCATCATCAGAACAATTTGAAAAGAATACGAAGAGCTAGAATTTCAGTAATAGATGGAAAGGCCTTGATAAACTGATGTCGCCAAGCAAGATAGAAACCAAATTAAACTATAACTTTGGGAAGAAATTTCTCTACTGAATTGCTGATGAAAGAAAACTACTTTCCTCCAAGGACTCTGGTAATCCTTATGTGGAGCTGATGGAGAGAGGGCCAGTGGGATACTAATAGGTCAGTGTTCTGCCCACGTGGTCTTAATTTCTGAGCCTGGAGTAATTTCTCCTGGATGGCACCAATGAGATAATACGTATACACGAACCCAATACTTGCCTTTACCCGCAGCAAATGCTTATAGGTATTCCCTTTCTTTTGCATGCCTACCTTGAAAAGATTTTTCTAGTTGGTCTAGTGACCAACTTCATTGTGCTGGCTCATGTATTTTTTAACAGTTTTGAAAAATTTGGAAACTTTTAGTAAATCTTTTGTGACTACTGGTGTTTGATGGTTTGTTTTGTCCTTATCAGGAACTCATTGCTGAAAAGTTTTGCTACATTTGTCCACTGGTCTCAGGCTCTGTCTTTGTCTCTACCCTCTCTCTCCC